GGGTTTAGGGTTTAGGGGAAAAATATGTTCCCCAAAATGTTTGTAACCGAAGGTCAAAACCTGCTTTCTGGGCCAGTGTAGGGTTTAAGGATTTAGGGTTTAGGGGTTTAGGGTTTAGGGTTTAGGGGTTTAGGGGAAAAATCTGTTCCCCAAAATGTTTGTAACCGAAGGTCAAAACCTGCTTTCTGGGCCAGTGTAGGGTTTAAGGATTTAGGGTTTTGGAGTTTAGGGTTTAGGGTTTAAGGATTTAGGGTTTGGGGATTAGGGTTTGGGGTGTGGGGTTTTGGGGTTTGGGGTTTAGGGTTTTGGGATGTGGGGTTTTGGTGTTTAGGGTTTAGGGTTTGGGGTTTAGGGGTTTAGGATCTAGGGTTTCAAGAAATTTCAAGACCTGTCTGCTGATGCTTCGATTATTTCGCAGAGAGACAAAAAGTTTAGGATATATTGGGATAATGGAAAAATGGAAACTACTGGGTTAACATGGGGATATATTGGGATAATGAAAAGGGAAATGGAAAATACTGGGTTATACACCCTAAACCCTAAACCCTAACCCTAGCAGAGAGATAAAAGGTTTAGGGTTTGGGGCTTTAAGGTGCAGGGCTTGCCGTCTTCACGTACTTGTACGTCAGGTATAGTAGAGGGGGCGGGGGTGAATTTAGGTAGTAGTTTGGGACTTACAGAACCCCTGTCCCCACTACCCTGAATTACCAGCCAGACTGCAATCAACAGTTCGGGGAACTGCGAATTGAGCCATTTCATCTTCCGCTTCCCTTTCCACTTGAGCCTCCTTTATCCCCCAAACCCTAAGTCCTAAACCCTAAACCCTAAAGAGGGCTTCTGTGGACGGCTTCAAGCTTGCGGAACTTAGCGGCATGACTCCTGGACCCCAAAAGTATGTAAAATAATGGGTTTAGGGGATTAGGGTTTAGGGCTTAGGGCTACCTGAACCGCAAAAGTATGTTGTATGTTGACCTTTTGGGCTATGTTTAGGGGGTTTGGGGCTATAATTTTACCTACTTCAGGGGTCCAGGTAATGCCTAATCCCTGAACACTAAACCCCGAATAGCTGAGGCCACACCAGGATAGTCTCAAGCACTGGGTTTCCGGTTTGGGGAACACATTATCATTTGGGAGTTTCCGACATTAGGCGTCCCTTGTTTGGCGGCAGTCCTCGTAATAAGCGTTGGTATTTTGGCCTATATTGGGCACGCCCTATGTTGGGAAACTACCAGCAGTCTATAAGCCCCTACCTAAGCACTGTTTACATTTCATGTTCCACTTCCCTGTCCGTTTGAGCCTCCATTATCCCCCAAACCCTAAGTCCTAAACCCTAAAACCTAAACCATAAACTCTAAACACTAAACCCCCAACCCAACAAAACTCAACCGCTACCCTTTTTGAAAAGTCCCACCTGCAGACTGCTTGGGAGCATCACTTCTTCCAGGCTGCTGTTGAACCTGTCCCCAAAGACCAGGGTGCAGAGAAACCCTTAACCCTGTATATCAAGCCCTAAACCCTAAACCCTTAACCCTATAAATCAAGCCCTAAACCCTAAACCCTATGCATCCCCAAATAGAAAGATGGTAGTTTCCATGTTCTTTGCCATTCTTTGGGAAACCTCCACCTGTCCCCAAAGACCAGGGTGCAGAGACCGTCTGGCAATATAACCTTGGCAGTGGGGTTTCAGCTTTAAGGTCTGGGATTTAGGGCTTAGGATTCAGAATCTAGGATTTAGGGATTAGGGTTTAGGATTGAGAATTTAGGGTTTAGGATTTAGGGCTTAGGAATTAGGGTCTAGGGTCTAGGGTGAAAGGTGTAGGTTTATGGCTTGGGCCTGAGATTTAGGGTCTAAGGTTTAGGGGTTAGCATTTGGACGGTCGGAGAGCATAAGCTGGGCGTAAATTCAAGTTACCATAATGAGGGATGGATATTTTAACATTCCCTATGTGTCCATTGCATGATGACTTAGAACAATATATCAAATTCTAAACTTTAAACCTTAAACCATTTGAGCTATAGTCTAAGCTCCTTAAAAATGTTATATAGGGGACTATATAAGGTTCCTATTATGGGGCTTATATGGCTGATTAAAGGCGATGCTCGGAGTCTAGACGATAGCTCATGTCAAACTGTTCTAGGGATGGTTTGACTAAGCCCAGTCTTGAGAAAGTCCTTAGCATCAATCTACAAATTGAAGCAACTGCACCCCCAGCCCTAAACCCTAAACCCTAAACCCTAAACCCTAAACCCTATACAGCCCACAACCCCAACCCCCTTTGAAAGGTGTAGGGTGCCAAACCCAAAACCCCAAACCCTCAACCCTAAAATCTAAACCCTTAGCGGCAATCCAGGAACGCCTGCCAGACTCTGGTTGAACTGGTCGCCAAAAGTCAGCGTCTGCAGGTCACCTAGTGTTCTCCCCAGTAACCAAGCATGAAAAAGAGCCACGTATTTGAGGATAACACAGGCTAACAAGAAACCAAGGAACCCCAAAAAGGGTGCAAGGGGCTAAGTGGGAAATCCAGTGGCTCGGAAGCGTGACGCCTTGAAGGCTCTGGTCGAAATCTTGGCCGAAGCTCAAGTTCTGCCTGGGTTGCTGTTTAGGGTTTAGGTTTAGGGTGTAGGGAATTTAGTTAAGATACCAACTCATACAGTACAAAGGAGATTTTCCTATTGTGGTAGCTGACTTCACGTTCCTAAACATCAGCCCAGTTGCAGGCCCTGTGGCAAAGCCACACCAACCAAACTCTGGTTATACCTGTCAGGGGGCTCCCTGAACCCTAAGCCCCTAACCAAAAACAATAAACCCTAAACCCGAAAACTCCAAGCTCTAAACCCCAAACCCTAAATCCAAAACCCAAACCCGAGGCCCTAAACCCTAAACCCCAAGCCCTAAACCCTAAACCCAAGCCCTAAACCCTAAACCCTAAACCCTAAACCCTGAACCTTCCTTTATTTCACCTTTTGGGTCATCTGAACCTGTCACCAAAGGTCAGGGTCTGAAGGCCGCTGGGCAGCATGACATCCTCCAAACTCCTTTTGCTGGATGCTAGTCATTTGGGTAGTGTTCTTTTGGTGGTTCAACCTAGTAAGATTATATTCTTCATATAAAATACTATAACAAAAAGGAGGATATAATCTTACTCTATAATGGGTACCACAGTATCCCCCCAAAAAATACAATTGATTTGAGCTATAGTCCAAACTCCAAATATTCCCCTTAATAACCCCTATAGTAGTCCCGTCTATAATCCCCGATATACCCCCCCCTTAGGAGTTTAGGGTACAGCTCATTTCAGGGCGTCCAGGAGTCCCTGGGATTATATAGGGGTTATATAGGGATAATGGAAAAGAAAATGGAAGCTACTGTATTATGTTAAGGTGTGAGGGTTTAGGGCTTGGGGGTTAGG